AAACATGTTTTATATTCTAGTTTCTTCAAAATAGCCACCCTTTGCTCTGATTACTGCTTTGCACACTCTTGGCATTCTCTCGATGAGCTTCAAGAGGTAGTCACCTGAAATGGTTTCCACTTCACAGGTGTGCCTTATCAGGGTTAATTAGTGGAATTTCTTGCTTTATCAATGGGGTTGGGACCATCAGTTGTGTTGTGCAGAAGTCAGGTTAATACACAGCCGACAGCCCTATTGGACAACTGTTAAAATTCATATTATGGCAAGAACCAATCAGCTAACTAAAGAAAAACGAGTGGCCATCAATACTTTAAGAAATGAAGGTCAGTCAGTCCGGAAAATTGCAAAAACTTTAAATGTGTCCCCAAGTGGAGTTGCAAAAACCATCAAGCGCTACAAAGAAACTGGCACACATGAGGACCGACCCAGGAAAGGAAGACCAAGAGTCACCTCTGCTTCTGAGGATAAGTTCATCCGAGTCACCAGCCTCAGAAATCGCAAGTTAACAGCAGCTCAGATCAGAGACCAGATGAATGCCACACAGAGTTCTAGCAGCAGACCCATCTCTAGAACAACTGTTAAGAGGAGACTGCACGAATCAGGCCTTCATGGTCAAATAGCTGCTAGGAAACCACTGCTAAGGAGAGGCAACAAGCAGAAGAGATTTGTTTGGGCCAAGAAACACAAGGAATGGACATTAGACCAGTGGAAATCTGTGCTTTGGTCTGATGAGTCCAAATTTGAGATCTTTGGTTCCAACCGCCGTGTCTTTGTGAGACGCAGAAAAGGTGAACGGATGGATTCCACATGCCTGGTTCCCACTGTGAAGCATGGAGGAGGAGGTGTGATGGTGTGGGGGTGTTTTGCTGGTGACACTGTTGGGGATTTATTCAAAATTGAAGGCACACTGAACCAGCATGGCTACCACAGCATCCTGCAGCGACATGCCATCCCATCCGGTTTGCGTTTAGTTGGACGATCATTTATTTTTCAACAGGACAATGACCCCAAACACACCTCCAGGCTGTGTAAGGGCTATTTGACCAAGAAGGAGAGTGATGGAGTGCTGCGGCAGATGACCTGGCCTCCACAGTCACCGGACCTGAACCCAATCGAGATGGTTTGGGGTGAGCTGGACCGCAGAGTGAAGGCAAAGGGGCCAACAAGTGCTAAACACCTCTGGGAACTCCTTCAAGACTGTTGGAAAACCATTTCAGGTGACTACCTCTTGAAGCTCATCGAGAGAATGCCAAGAGTGTGCAAAGCAGTAATCAGAGCAAAGGGTGGCTATTTTGAAGAAACTAGAATAAAACATGTTTTCAGTTATTTCACCTTTTTTGTTAAGTACATAACTCCACATGTGTTCATTCATAGTTTTGATGCCTTCAGTGAGAATCTACAATGTAAATAGTCATGAAAATAAAGAAAACGCATTGAATGAGAAAGTGTGTCCAAACTTTTGGCCTGTACTGTATGTAAGTACATTGTGCCTTCATTGCCTTTTATTATTTTCCTCCCACCCTCTGCTTCACGCACCCCGGAAAACATGTATTACATTTTTTGATACCTGTATGGTATAGAAAGAAATTGGAAACACTTGACATCATGTAGAGCAAATAAATTATTTAAATGGTATAACTTTGATATAGTAATGTGAGAGCTGACAAACTGGTTAAAATCATAACTTTATTTTTTTGAATTAGACTATTATTAGGACTTAATTCATCAACAACATTATCAAAAATAAATATTTTTGAAATAAGCACCGTTTGTGTTTTATCAATGTCTCACTGATGAGTTATTGATCCAGAAAGTTCAAATCTATGAATATCTTTCAAAGTGTAACGAACGTCCCCTCTTCTCGGTACTGAATGTCTTAGTAGTATGGAGTACTGGATCGTACTGGCCTTCTTTCACCTTTGGTTATAAGTTAGTATGGCAATGAAAACATCAAAGATCTACTCGGGGTTAGTTTTACTTTTAATGTCACATAAAGAACAGGCTTTTAGGTCCAACATATGTGTTCAACAAACATAGATGCTGAAGCATAAACTTCCACAAATAAGCAGACGTAAGCTTAAAGTCTGACAACATCGAGGATGGGCTTTCACAGAGTATACACCACATAACGTATCCTGTAACTCTACAAACAAATGCTCAGTAGTTAGTTGATAATGTGATTATTTGGGAACGCTTGGTTACAACTTAAGCTAGTTAGCAGCGCATGCTAATGAGTGCATCTTAAAGCAAATCTGCACTATTTAATTCATTCCTTATACTTGCACACTGAGATAAAGTACCTGTCAGACTTTCTGTTCATAATGCAATTTACAATGGCAAAGGCGGCAGACTTTAAGGTCCACTGTGCAGGATTTTGAGGGATATATTGGCAGAAATGGAATACACTGTTTATTATTCAATGGTTTTATTATAGGAGCCCTGAATGTTTATAACATCTGGTTCTGCCCCTGTTAGAAATCCTAACAGTACTGGTTTGGACCAAATATTGTTTTGGGGAGGCATTTTAAGATCTGAAACTTCATGGTAATCATGCCAGCTTTTCTGGTGTTTTACTGAAGTTTGAATGAGTTTCAGAAGCATATAAACCTTGTTTCTCAGGCACAATGATAATGCAAATCAGCCAATCCCAGCAGAACTTTAAAAAAAAAAACAAAACTTGCATTTTTGGAAAAATTGCCATACTGTGTGTCTGCAAGAAATAGGTATTTACAGAGTGCTCATTGTCATGGATCTTTTCACACAGTAAAACAATCAACTCAGACAAAACACAACAAACTACACAGCCATTGGTCCATTTAATCAGCCACTTATAGGTTTTGCTCACCTAATTAGTGCCTCTGACATAAATGGGAACTTAGCGCAGCCTTAAACTTCATTTAAATGTGTCATTCTGACACATTTAAATGGGCCTGTTTTGTTTGCTGCTTCATGCTTTGTGTTGCAATAAGCGCATATTACACTGCACAGTACTTCTTTGTTGGAGCTTTTTGTTCTCTGCTCAGGTAATATGATAATCAGTGCTGTATTGCCTGCTGACAAAAGAAACTTTTCACGAAGGGCAAATGAAAAACACCTGTGTTAATTATTTCTTTAGTCTTACATCAAGGTGCTCCCCTCACAATTTCAAAACAGACCTAAAACCTTTAAAATCTAACAAGATAATACACATCTTGGTTTGACTTCACTCAAATAAATATGCAGTATCTCTAAGAATCTCGGTAATATCTCATGCCTGTTACAGCTACTTCTTCTTTTACCATATTTCTTTGCAAAACTGAACTGATCCAATTGCAAAAACAACAAAAAAGAAAAACAAGAAAAAAACAGAAAAAGCTGAAAATGGTCTTATTTAGAAAGCTGCACTACCTGTATGGAATCAGAAAAGTTTTATAATATATAAAAAGGCAATAATTTGTGAACAGATTTAATAAATATTAAAACTCAGACCATTATTGTAAAATTTCAACATTCTTGTTTTCATAATTATTTAAATAGTTTTATAGAAGTCCATTTTTATTTCATATTAGACAGTATTATTTCAAAATTTTAAAATGACATTTGCCTCATTGACATTTTCATTTTACGTCACTTATTATTTATTCATGTATTTAATCGTTTTGTTTTACACTGTAACTTTTCATGACAGAGTGACTTCAACAATTGCAACCAGATTTACGTAGTTAGCTCCTGTAAGCTAGAGGTTACGGTTAGCATATTGGTCACCCCTGCATCACTCGTGGCAAGGAGAAAGCTCTTTGTACCGTTACCTGCATAATTTATTATTTCCTAAATCAATACTGTTTGTCATAAAAAAAAGTGTCATGGATCATGTTAGCTGGTTAAGTAATCTGACAAGCTAGCAAACTGACATATCCACTGAGACAGTACTTTGCTAGGGATAACGTCAACCAGCCAGCTAGCGAAGGTTAGCCAGCTAGCTGTAACGTAGCTACACTGCATGAAACTGGCGTTAGTCGTTTTATAAAGTTAGCTGATAAAGTAATTTGCAAACAGCAAACTAGCCAATTTACCAGACAGATCAGCACTGGAGTCTGGATGAATTAGATTATGTTAATCAATCAAGACAGAATTTTGCTATGTTAGCTAGCCAGCTACTCACCAGCATTATCAAGCAAACTAACGTTAGCTAACATTAGCCATCTCAAACCACAATATCTCATCGTTACAGGTTATGATTTTTTTTTTCTTTCAGTTCCAGGGACACTATACGTAAATATGATGCGGAGTACTATATTTGATGGATTAACTGTGTATCTGTTTTTCCAGAAAAATTTTCCCTTAGTCCTTAACACAGAATTCAGTCCACAGGCTGTTCTAGGTAACCCAGGGAATTGTTGCATTACAAACTGTTCACCTGTTGGCAATTAAAAACAAAATATGTATAAAAAGTTACATCTAGTATCTTGAATATTGAACACTTTTGGGTTCCATATTACTGACGTTCCTTCACACTTTAAGCCAAGTAGTTGTTCTAGTGGTGAAAAGCTTTTAGCTTGAAGCACAGCAGAATGAAGTGTTATCACAGCAATTACAGCCCTCATTTTTTAAAACTGGTACTTCCTTTCTTTTTGCCCACATGACCCGCATGTCAAGCCTGTTCACGGTAACAACACAGCTCAGATATCACAGTGTAGCCCTCCTTCCAGTCAAGCATATGTTCTTGGCATGCCAGATAAACAATGCTATGTAGCAAGTCAGTAGAAATGGGCTTATTTGTTTGTCATAGGGTATGTGGAAACGTGTTTTTCATTGTCAGTTTGGACTGTATTGGCATAAATTAATAGAAAGTGGGAAAATGTGGGTACTGGAGCTCAGTCTTACATTAAGAAAAGTGCAGAATTAGTCTTTGCAGTAACGCATTTAATTGTATTTTAATCACTCAACATATTTCACTGTTTAAAACCTTGCTAAGTCTTACCCATCTTTACCTTCCCCCTTGCCTCTCTTCCTCCCTCCAGTCCTTCTGGCTCAGCCCATAGAGAATGAATGTATGGAGGGTTTGACGTTGAAGATCACAGACTTCGGCCTAGCCAGGGAGTGGCACAAGACCACCAAGATGAGCACGGCTGGCACCTATGCCTGGATGGCCCCTGAGGTCATCAAGTCCTCCACCTTCTCCAAGGGCAGCGACGTCTGGAGGTGAGTGCTTGTGTGTGTGTTTGTGTGTGCGCAAAGTCTCTGAAGTCCAGTCCAGGAATTTAATTATATGTGCAGGTGTGCATTTATGGTATTTCTGCACCTTAAAGAAATAGATTTATATTTTGAGAAATATGCTTATTCACTTTCTGGCTTAGAGTTTGATGAGCTCAATATCACGCTAATGTCTGTACGCTAAATATGAAGCTAAGGCTAAGCAAGTAAGTGTGTTCCCCATAATGTCAGACTGTTCCTAAAAGGAACAAAAACAGCTCCTTTTCTAGTGTGTTTGTATGGGGAAAATGTGTCTTGAGTATGTCACATGATACTGCACTACCGAGTGTGGCCACTATGCCAGATCACAGTAGTTTCAAACAGGGCTGGGTATTGGTTTTCGATACCTTTACCTTATTGACTGAAATAAACCAGTGCACAGTAGTGTCAAAACTTTTACAATCAAACAATACGTGCATTTGATCTTTTTTGTACCCAGACCTAGAATAAAATCAGTATATGTATGGTTTTTCTCACAGCCAATCACTGCAAGCTTTTTTCGATATGATGCAACGTGTGATTGGTACACTACTACAGCAGCTACAACCCACATGTCTGAGGTGTGGTGAAGACGAGCGCAGTGTATTTGATAGAGTTGGCAGTTCAATGTGCTGAGACGCCACTAAAATGTTTGAAAGTATGACTCTACTACATGCCTGTGGCATCTGGTGCCATTTTACCCAACTGAATGTTTAAATTCACATGATGGGTATTGAATGAACAAAACGTATCAAGTGAAGTATTCTGTTGGTATCTGTATCAATTTAAAATAACAGTTCAAACGACCATATACACAAAGCTTCCTGTTACAAAGAGATGCTCCTTGTGACGAAATTCTACGAAAATTTCTCAGACATTTTCCAAGAATTTCCCCATAGAATTAAGACTAGATTCTTGTAAAGATGAAAGTAATTCACAAAGCGTCTTAGCCCTTAAGAGAGCTCTTAGGTGAAAAACTGTCAAGAGTAAGGAGGAGGACTTTTAAGAGGCTTAAGAGTTTCCTAAGCAGAAGAGAAAATAGCAGAAAAAAAGAGGAAGAAGAAATTTTCTCCAAACGCTGGATGACAGTGAGTTGATGAAATACTGCAGATTAGATTGTGCAGGGATTATCTTTGAGGTCATTCTCATTTGAGATGTACTCACGTCTTGAACTCAACACAATAACAATATAACAACAGAAATAAAGTGATCTCAAAACTGAGATATTTGGGAACTGGAAAAATGCAGCAGTGACGACTTGGGTCTGTCTCAACCTTCCATCAGCAGTGATCACACTAACAGTTACAACACTTTCAGTCTCACATTTTGATGCAGTTCATTTAATTTCCACTGGGTGTCCACACTTTGTTGGCTTACAAAAGTGCGTGTCTGTGACAACCAATCACTCCTGTTAAAAGAATGCATCATACCTAGCAACAGGGTCAACCACACCTCCTCACTGAGGTAAAAGGTTCTGTCCCTCCCTTGCTCAGAGTTGCTCTGAGAACTTTCCTGAATCACTCCTAAGCTAGGACGTCTTGCTAAAAACTTTTAGGCTGGGTTAAGAGCTGTCTGACCCCAAAGGTCAATTATAGTGGGGTTGCATGATATATTTATCCATAGTCAGTGTATTACCTACAGTACATGGCAAACTGGGGGGCAACATGCCCCCAGTTTGGAGAAGCAGGCTGGAGTCTGACACAGAAGCTAAGCTACTGCTCAGTAACAAAATGTATTTTAGCCACTTAAAAAAATTACTGTCATTTTAAATGTACACTATATTTAGAATATTTTCACTGCTTTACCTTACTTTCAGACATTGATATATGACGGAGAAACTGAGCAGTTATGTAGCTCTCTTCAGAGCCAGACTCCATTGAATAAAATAGTGATTTAATGTCACCAAACAATGGAGCTGCTTATCTACGGCTAGCTCAAGTAGTTGCCATGTTTGTGTTATTGCGTGACTTTGGTGTTGAAAAGGGTTAGTTTGGATTCACCTAAGTCACACAATAGCCCCTTTTCCACTGCAGGAACGTTTCTCATTTTTTTCTCATTGATTTTGAAAAACCTCTGTGCGTTTCCACCGAAATTACCCGGGTAAAAAACTTTCCCTCAACCCCAAATTTTCCCTGAAAAAGTACCTAGTAGGGGGGTAGGACTTTTCAGATTACCCGGAATTATTGAGGGGTGGGGCAGTGTGCTGAAGAATGCTGATTGATGGACTCACACTTGCAGTGTTCCGCACTTCCTGGCACAGGCAGCCACTGCAAACTTTATTTCATTTCTACACGCTCCACTTTGTTTGTTTCGATTTAGGATGGGTACCGACATCCGGTACTAAATTAGCCGGGGGCTAAATTATCAAAGACCGCAGTATTGATAAGCGCTGACAATATCTGTTCTCCTCTGCTCTCTGTGCCGGCGCTGAGCTCCTCCACACACACACACACACACACATCCACACACACACATCCACAGATACACCAACGCAACATGGTAACCGGTGAACAGCTGAGCATTCCCGGTGGAAATGAAGTGAAGGTAACTCGAAAATGACTCGAGCTGACGGCAGCTGAACATCATTACTGTAAGTGCAATTAAACCTTAGTGAGTAAGAAGCCAATACTTTATCAATACATGTGTTCAGCAAGCATGAACATGTAAACATGTAGACAGCGATATTCAATATGCTCTGTCCAGTCTCTCATCCACCGACACTAACGTTATGTCTTACACAAGGACAGCACGCTAGTTCAGCTGATAGTGAATTGTTACTAATAAGCTGAAATGAAGCTGTCTGTATGTAGACTAACTTAGTTTGACACTTATCTTAAAATACCTTTGAACTGAGCTGCTGGCTGAGACAAACAGCCCCAACTCTCTACCAGCATGTAAACAGCCAAGCTGGCAGAGCCAAATACAGGGCACGCGCCGAATCATCGATGTCATCACGCTAATATGGATACATTTTCCGGAACTTTGAGGTGCGGTGGAAATGCCAACCACACAGATTACCAGGAATTCGTTCCTGGAAAGACAAGTTCCTGGAAATGTTGGTGGAAAAGGAGCTATTGAGCTTTTTAGCTTTTAGGGGGGAGAGAGAGAGGGAGTGACATGCAGCAAAGGGCCACAGGCTGGAGTCGAACCCGGGCTGCTGCGGCAACAGCCTTGTACATGGGGCGCCTGTACACTGACAATGGATAAGTTCCACATGTAACCCCACTTCAAAAAATCCGAACTATCCCTTCAAGGGTACTGGTATTGGTTCTGGAATTAGAATTTTTGGAACAATACCCAGCCCTACTTTGAGCCCATAGAATGAGCCATTATTTTGCATTATGATATACTTCACCTGATTTTATAATTATAAAAAAACACAAGATGGCCCACATTCAGTTTTAGGCAACTATTTAGGTCCAGGCCTGAAGCCTTCATATATAATAGGGTCATCAAGCTGAGCTGAAGTAGCTTGGACACTAGATGGTAGTTAGGTCAATAGAAACAATCATGTTCCAATAACATACTGCAGACTCCAAATTGTGTATGACCTTGGAATACAGAATGAAAAGCATTGTTACGATTAGAGAAATTGTTTCTTTCTTTATAATCAGAGATGCAATGACTCAAATTGTAGTATTATTAAAAATACGCAGCCTTATTAGAGATCAGTATGGTGTGGTGTTTATATGGGGCCAGAGGGGAAAGGGTGAAAGTGCAGAGAAGTGATGGTGGGAGACGGAGTGATGACGCGAAGGAGGCACAGAGTGATGGATTGCGGCAAGACCGCCGCAGCCATGTGACGGCGTCTCTTCAAAGAGCTGCTCTGTGCTTTGTTGTGGGACATCTGTACTGCACACTGTCCCATTGTCTCCAGTATAGACAGAGAAGGAGGCCACACACCAGACCTAACCACAGCCCTTTATCTGGGAATAGCTCTGTGTGTGTGTGTGTGTGTGTGCGCGCACATATCTGTGTGTGTTTGGCCACATCTACACAGGAACAGAAGAGTCCCCTTGATTATGGTTTGTGGTTTTGTAATAATGACTTAAACAACTGTGTGATTTGTTGAGAGGGGATTCATGATGGCTTTAAAGTGCTGTATATGAATTTGCATTTGGAATGAAGCAGACAGGGCTGATTTTGCTCCGCAGTAGGGAAAAGATAAATAATTTATTAAAGCAATAATACACATTTATGGCTTTGCTGCACTGTGGTTATAGCAGTTACTCTCATATGCTATGGTTTAATTTTAATCCAGTGGATTTGGACCATTTAATCCATTCTTAAATGGTTCTTTGCAGCCCCACACAGAGCCTATGTGAAACCAATTGAGCATGCTGTTACAGAGAACCTTTTTGAAAGCGTCCTTGAGAACATCAAACAGGATCCTGCTTTGGTGCAAGCTACTTAAGGAATTTTCTGGTACTTTAAAGAACCCTATTTAATAAGAGTGTACAGGGTTTTTTTTTTTTGCCACTACCCTAATGGGTTCAGTGTCATCTCACTATCTCACACACATCCTCTCAGTTTTCATCTCCCCTTTTATCAACAACAAACCCACGCAAGCTCATTTTCACAGCAATCACAGCACAATCTGGAAAACAGCAAAATGAGCAAGTAGCAGGCGGGCAGACAGGCAGCCCTGCTCTGAAAATGAACGGTAATCTTTGTTCTACTATTCTTTCTCATCTGTCCACGGCCGCTCGTCTCCAAAGCCGCCACGCGAAGACGACGACTGCCTCAGGGAGCAGCGAGCAGCGTTTCTGCACAGTCACAGTGTGTGGAAGTTGTAATTAAAGAACTAAATAAAAAAAGGCTGCGGCCTGCGCTCTCCACTTAGCGAGCCTCCACAGTGCGTTCAGTCAGGTCCGGGCGAGGACTAATTGACAGTGTGGGAGATCCAAGTCCTGCGCCACGCTTCATCTTCTTAGGACACAGAGCTGCTCCCATTGTGTGGGCTCAAAAGTCCTGTGTGTGTCTGTGTGTGTGTTTGTTTGTGTATTTGTGTTTGTACAAGTTTTGCATGCATGAGTTCACATTGCTTTGCAAGCACATGGTTCACCAAGCAAAAATATTCCACTGCACAAATGTGTCTTAGTTCTGTATTGTCAGTGCTATGATAATGAATGTGTAAGGTATAATTTCAGCTCACAACTAAATGAGCATTTGTCTTTTTAAAAGCACCATCAAATACATATGTAAATAGTCTGGAAGCAGGTGGGTGTCATGTTGGAAATATCTCATATTGGTATCAAAGCTGCAAATGTGTTGAGGCATGAGACCAGTGCTGGACCTAGCACATTTGGCTCCCAAAGCAAACCCCTTATCTTTTATATTTGTTGTATTTATTACTAAGAAGAACAAGCGCTAATGAGAAATCAACACAATAAACAACTTACCTAACAATAATAATAAAAAATAACAATTCAAAAAAAATTTTTTATTTTTTTTTTGTGCAAATTTTGTTGTCTTCTTTTGTCTTTTCTGTTTACTGTGCTCTGGATGGCTTTTGCTTTTTCAAGGGGGGGTAGGGCAATTGCGGCGCCCCCTCTGGGTACAAAAATATTGTATCAGATTTTGAACTTTTAATGTTTTGGCAAAAAAACAAAACAAACAAAACCCCACATTTTTTGACCGTATTATATTTAGATAATTACATTTCTAGCAGTGTTTTCCTTCGTCAAACATAAATGTTAGCGGTCACTGCTAACACTGTTAGCATGAAGGTCACAGTAGCATAATAGCGAGAAAAAAAGAATACTTTGCCAGGTGGCTGGGCTTTTACCTGTGTTCGCAGGTGACTTGACAAGCTTGTTGTACACTTGTGATTTACCAGATTTCTTTGGTATATGTGGCACTCGAGTCTTTGGGGTCAAGTTCACAAATTTTGAAACTACATCAGAAGTTTAACTTTTTCGATGTCTTGCTAGCATATCTATAAGCCTGTCACATGTGGACAAACAGTCATAGTTTCAGTAGTGCTCGAATGCTAGTGACTGACATTAGATGGGAGCGAGTCAGAGTCACTAAACTATGACCAAGTGTCCTTGACTGAAAATAACACATGATAATTCATGCTGATGCGTAATGAATAATGTTGGATTACTTTTACTATTACTGTTACCAAGGCAACGATCAAAGCTTGTATTATCTCATACTCCGACAAACAAAATCTTTTGCCATCACAATAATGTGAAAGATGCAATAATCATATAAATATTCTTCACATGGTGACTTCAAAATAATTTTCAAACCTTTATTTAGTACCTACTGAATTGCTTCAAAGTAAAAGCCATCATCAGTACTATTTGCTGGAAGATTTGTACTGTGAAGTAGCTGCTGGTCGCATTGAGGTAGCATTAACGGATATGAAAGCAGTCTAGAAAGTAAAACAGTTGTGAAAGTAAAGGTCTTGTAAAGTATATTAATGCTGCAGTGGTCTGATTCATTGATGTATACCAATATACCAGAAATGATGATAGTGTCACACTGTATGTTTTCCAAATAGCTGCATGAAGTGTGTTCCAGGATATATCCTGTGTCTAATTTTGGTCTGAGCGTTCTGTCTCATGGCTTGTTGACTGTGTTTTTTTCCCTTCCAGCTATGGTGTTCTGCTGTGGGAGCTGCTAACAGGAGAGGCACCCTACAAAGGGATTGATGGACTTGCAGTCGCCTACGGAGTCGCTGTGAACAAGCTCACCTTGCCCATCCCCTCCACGTGCCCCGAGCCCTTCGCTCAGCTCATGTCAGGTGGGACACGTGTTTAGAAATGTAACCGAATGCACTCATTGCACAGTTTAGGCAATGACTTTCAGTTCAGTGGTGTGAGAGTACTCTTGCGTGAGATCAAATTGGTGTCCCCGGCACGCTCTCTTTCCATTTCCCCAAAGCTGGGTTGAAATTGAGAAAACAAATTCCTGTATGTTGCTAATAACGTTGCCGTTGAGAGGAAGTGCTTTGTGCTGGAGCCACCTTGTGCAACGTGTTTGTACTCATTTATGTTCTCCCTTTGGTTCAGTTTCAAGCTAAGAAGAAATGTCACCTGGGTGCTTGCTAACATGCTACCAGCCTGTTATCTGCTTCTGCCAAAAAGTAGACATAGACGGTTTACATTATTTCCACTTAGCCTCCTCTCTTGATGTCTGCTTGTCTTCTCCAGTTGTATTTTTAAAAAAAGAGATCAGTGCACAAAACCACCAATAGCCACCTCAGAGGATTAATTAATTATCGGATTGGTTTTTGATCTGCTTGTAATGCCCAAAGTGTTGCAGCAAATTATGCAACCCCCCCACAGCAAGTTAATTAAGCATAACACTTTGAATAAGTGATCAGCTTGACTCTAGATTATGCTCACACAAGTGCCTGAAATATGGGTAAATAAAAATTAGAGGCATCGCAGGATCCTCATTGGACATGAAGTGTAATGAGTGCAGAAACATCCGTTTTAGGAAGTCATTTGACCCAGTTTTAAGTCTTAAAATTCTAATGAACACCTTTTAATAGGGTGATAAAATTAGCCTTTTTCCTATGCAGTGCGGTATGTCTAAGGATTTCAGTGAATCAGTGAGGTACTTCCTTCTTTCAGGTCCGTTGATTCAAGAAAAACACTAAAGAAGTGAAACTGCTGGAAACAAGTGAATTTGGCGACTTTATTGTCAAATTTTTCCACTCATTTTAAGGAAACGGCTCAGTAACAGACCAAACAACCCTTTCTTTTTGTCAGCACCATCCACTTTAAAATGTATTTTGCTCTGCTTGGGTCCACTACTTCCTCATTGCTATGATCTTTGCATCAGTTTGAAGACAGCCATGCATTCATGAGAGTGCAGTCATAGTAGATATAACTCTGTATCTGCAAGTGCTGCTGATGTCTGACTGTGTCTGACTGTGTGTGTGTGTGTGTGTGTGTGTGTGTGACAGAGTGCTGGGACCAGGACCCCCACCGTCGACCCAATTTCAGCTCCATCCTGGCCCAGCTGACGGCCTTGGAGCAGCAGGTGAAGGAAGAGATGCCGCAGGACTCCTTCCACTCCCTGCAGGAGAACTGGAAAGTGGAGATCCAAGACATGTTCGATGAACTGCGGGCTAAAGAGAAAGTAAGAGAGGCATTCAGTGCATTATTCAGTAAAGTAAACATGTGTGTATCTCTTTTTATTCAAACATCTATTCCTTTGTCCATCCAGGGTTCAGATTTTTTGTTCCTTTATTTTTAATTTTGTGTGTTTTGGACAAATTGTAACCCCCATATAACTTATATTTTACATCATGATTATGCTGATTTTATCCATCTGACAAAGCATTTGCTAATAGATTTATGCATCCATTCAATTCAAACAAAACAATTGAAAGATTGAAGATAGTATTTTGATTTTGATTTTGATTTTGATTAAAAGATACATCAGATAAATAATTGATAATGTATAGATAGCTAAGATATTGTAATAAATATAAGTAGCAGCTATTCTTGCTCTTTCACCTTTATTTTATTGATACAGATGTGACAAAGAAGAAAAGACAGGTTATCTTAGAAACCGTTAATTTCACTTTGGACTCTGGTGTCATGTGGGCCATTCAGAATTTAATTAACTGTAAGATACAACCTTTTCAGGTGTGTCACCCCTTGAGACCAAACATTAATCTGTGGAACATCACATAAAATGTCAGATGGTTAACTTGCAGGTCATCCTGCAGTTAATGCTCATGAAAGGTTTCACCGCCACCATAGACTGTATGAAATAATGGACGTCCCCACCATGTCATCACCAATGGTTTGTGAACTCCTGTTTTAAAGCTTCAAATTGAGTATTTTGGCTGTTACCATTGTTTTTTTTTTTTTGGAGCCAGAAAAGACAATATTTGGATGAGAGGGTGGAGCTAACCCTAATGCTAGCTGCTAGCTTGGTTAGCACAGTACAGCTGTGGTTAACTATGATAATACTAATGCTAATTTTCACTAGCTAAAGCCAGGCTTGAAACCATTTCATAAAAAATGTACTTACCAGAAAAAAGAATATCCTCTCCTGACACTTATTTTTATATGAACAAGCTCTATGTTAAACGTTTTTTATGCACTTGGGCACATTATAAAAAACTGAATTTCCCCTCGGGGATTGATAAAGTATTTAAAATGAAATTAAAAAATGATTGAGCTGACTACAAAGTACAAACAAATTCCCAGTGGTAATCAGTTCATTTCCATTGTGAATAAATTGAGTATCCCTGCCTTAGTGGGTCTTTTAGTACACCCAAACACTGAATAAGACATTTTTAGGCAAACAAAGTTAAGTTTAAGTTTATTTACTTTATTAATCCCCCTGAGGGGAAATTCAATGTTTTCACTCTTGCTTGTCAATTACACACAGGTCTGAAAGACACACAAATGCACAAACAGGACCTATACATGCACAAATTGGAGAGATGTCAGAGTGAGGGGGCTGCCCTTGGTGAGGCGCCCCGTGCGGTTGGGGGTTCGGTGCCTTGCTCAAGGGCACCCTGGCAGTGCCCAGGAGGTGAACTGGCACCTCTCCAGCCACCACGCTCCATATTTTGGTCCGGACGGGGACTTGAACAGGCGACCCTCCGGTTCCCAACCCAAGTCCCTATGGACTGACAAAACATTCAAAACATTACTATTTACTTTCTTGAACTGAAAACACAAAACAAAGTTCCGGAAAATGTATCCATATTAGCGTGATGACATCGATGATTCGGCGCGTGCCCTGTATTTGGCTCTGCCAGCTTGGTTGGTTACATGCTGGTAGAGAGTTGGGGCTGTTTGTCTCAGCCAGCAGCTCAGTTTAAAAGTATTTTAAGATAAGTGTCAAACTAAGTTAGTCTACATACAGACAGCTTCATTTCAGCTTATTAGTAACAATTCACTATCAGCTGAACTAGCGTGCTGTCCTTGTGTAAGACATAACGTTAGTGTCGGTGGATGAGAGACTGTGGACGGAGCATATTGAATATCTCTGTCTACATGTTTACATGTTCATGCTCGCTGAACACATGTATTGATGAAGTATTGGTTTCTTACCCACTAAGGTTTAATTGCACTTAGAGTAATGAGTGCAGCTGCCGTCAGCTCGAGTCATTTTTTCGAGTTATCTTCACTTCATTTCCACCGTGACCGCTCGGCTGTTCACTGGTTACCATGTCGCGTTGGTGCATGTGTGGATGTGTGTGTATGTGGAGGAGTTCAGCGCTGGCACAGAGAGCAGAGGAGAACCGATACAGTTAGCTCTTATCAATACTACGGTCTTTGATGATTTAGGGTGTCGGTACCCATCCTAAATCGAAACAAACAAAGTGGAGTGTGTAGAAATGAAATAAAGTTCCACCGATCAGTGTTCTTCAGCACACAGTCCGACCCCTCAAGAATTCCGGGGAATCTGAAGAGTCCTACCCCCCTACTAGGTACTTTTTTCAGGGAAAGTTTGGGGGTAAATGATAAAAGTTCCAGCGGTGGAAAAGGGGCTATTGTTACATTACCAAACCAACAGGCAGCAACTTGTCAACAGATGGCACCCACCTGTCACTCAAAGTGGCCACGCTCTTATTATGTGTAACTTCAAGCCTTAATAAAATGTAAATGGCTGAGTTATATAAAAATTCACCCCCATATACTTGTCATGAATGTTAAAATTAGCTTATGAGACCAAAATCGTTTTTGTACCAGGCTGTAAACATATATATTTCTGCTGTAAAGTTAGGTATTTTAACATGGAGGTCTATGTGGATTGACTCTCTCTTGGAGCCAGCCTCAAGTGGCCATTCAAGGAACTGCAGGTTTTGGCACTTCTGTGTTGGCTTCATTTTCGCTTGATTGCATCCAACCTCCAGCAGCTCATTTCACACTGTATACCTCCATCACGCATGATTGGGACCTCCTCGTATTAAACACCTCCTCATCTCTTTCATGCACTTGTCCTTTTTCGTCCCACAGGAGCTGCGATGCCGTGAGGAGGAGCTGAAGCGAGCGGCCCTGGAACAGAAGTCCCACGAAGAGTTCCTACGGCAACGCGAGCAGCAACTGGCTCAGTGGGAGCAGGACGTGTTTGAGCGCGAGCTCAGCCTCCTCATCCTCCACCTGAACCAGAACCAGGAGAAACCCAACGTCAAGAAGAGGAAGGGCACCTTCAAGAAGCACAAGCTCAAGTGCAAGAACGGCGAGAAAATCAGCATGCCTCAAGGTGTGTGTTTGTTTGAACTGTTTTTGAGTTGCTCTGTCACAAATCAGCTACTAGTCGGATTGTGTCAGCCAATGGTCTTGACGAGAAATTCCATTTCAAGGGCCATTACTGGCTCAGTCTCAAGAAGCAAGAAAAACAACAACAGGCAAAAAAAAAATACAAGAGAGCAGAGAAGGGGAAGTGAGGGAGAGAGTTTTGTGGTGCAACTGTAATTTTGTAGCTCGGCTGTGCTGAAGGTTCCTATCACGACTGGACTCGTGTAGGTTTGAAGGTTGATATTTAGAAAAGGAGGCTGCAAATAGAGGCCATTTTCTGCTGTCTTTCAATATACCTGAAATTGTTTACTTGTATTTCAATCACAAAAATGTCAAACTCTTCAAAATGCCCCCTCAAACAACATTCAGACCACAGTAAGACACAAACCGACTACAGCTTTGGTCCTGTGAAAGGTGAATCACAGGCCTGATATTCACACTGACCAACACACTCCATTTCTGCTCCCTTTTGTCCTCTAATACTTAACTGACTGCTGTTCCTTATGCATCCTCCACTATCACAAAGTCACACAGCCCACTGCAGTTCACATCCAGTGTGTTTCGATGCGTGTGTGAGTGTATTTTAGGCTGAGCAAGCATGCGTAAATACACTGTGTGTGTTTGTGTGTGTGTGTATGTGAGTGTGTGTGTTGTGGTTAGGCCTTTCCCAGCAGCAGCAGGGCGGTGATGTGGTGGTGGTGGGGGGGTTGATGAGAGGGGAGAGTGAGCCAACCACGCCTTGTTACTTCCTGTCTATGGATACACTGCTGGCTGGCCTCTCTTCACTCTCTCGCTCTCACTCCATGCCTCTCTCTCGCTCTCTCCCTCCCTTTTTCTTTTTAGGTATCCCTTCCTCACCCTTTTCTCTCTCCCCTCTAGCTCCCTCGTCTGTGTTTTTATTCTCCTCCTAACCATACCTGTCTGACTCCCTTTCTTTTTCCTTCCTCTTTCCACCAATATTATTATTATCCTTTTTCTATATCCTGTGTTGCTCTTGCACTTGGCACCCTGTGGAATAACTTATATGTTATGCTTTATCCCGTAGATATAAATAAGAACATGCTTAGGATGTTCTTATGCAGGATTTAGGATTTAAAGGCGGTATTTGTCACATACACAAACAATATGTGCAGTGAAATGCAGTGTGGCATACTCTTAAGGCTGTGCTAAAAGACTATTAGGGGCTTTGCAGTTGCATCACAAATTTGGCTCCGTCATGGTTGTATAGTGGCTAAATATACAGAGAAACAAATGGGCTGGTAATGGAGAGATAGCTGAGCATAATTGCTGTGGTGTGGCTGTCATTTCAGTTACACTTTAAGTGAAAGTGAATATTATTGTAAAGGAAATGTCTTTTAATATTCAGCCCTAGTTTCTACTTATAAACACTATAAACATAGCCTGAGTCTAATCAGTTAACCTTAGGGACTGTTATTTACATATGAGAGGGGAAGGGGTGGTGCAAAAGGGGGAAGCATGTCAACTTTTTTTTTTAACACTGAGGAGGACTTGTGTTTTTTATTTTGGCTTAGGGGAGGGGCATACAATTTGAAATGGCTGTATTTTGTATTTATTTAACCATCTGGATAGCATCTTTAAAATTGGCCAAGATTACACCATTTATCATAGCCAGAAACTGTAAAAACTGAAACTGTCGTTGGGTTTTCAAATTTATGACAGTCCTTGAACACATTATGTGGGTTGAACGCTTCTGTAACATCTAAGCTTAAAATATTGATATTTCATCAAATTTACTTAATTCTACATGTCTCGTTTAAATTTGTTTAAAAAATATACAGTGTGCACTAACTAAGCAGCTTGCATGACAAGACTGGAAAAAACGAGGTTTTTGTCAACTCCAGGATTTTGTCTTCAACTTTTAACTTTCAAACATCAAAGGGTATGTTTTTAAAATCAAACAAGTAATTTATGGTGGAGGAAGGGGTCATGCCTTTTCCCAAAGTAACTCAAGAAGGCCTAATGAAAAAATATTTGTAGCTCTAGGAGCATAAAAACTACAATAAAAAAATAAAAAAATAGAATTTACACACCAGCCACCCCCCTCCTATGATAAATAATGAACAGTCCCTTAACAAAGTATTAGCTTCTTTTGCTAAATAGCAAGCATCAGCCAATGCTAGTAGCGAGTGCTCTGAGTAGATTAGCAAATTACACTTGCTTATAACCTTAATTGATTAAGTCACACCCGTGAGTCACTTAATTTCTTTCCTTGAATTTATAATGTATTCAGCTGATTGATAAAGTCATGACCTCAGACTACATAATTATGTCATTACCTCAAATTAATAGCGATATCTCCTTCACTCCATTTGTCAGTGCCCTCTTACAATCTCCCTGTAGACCTCTGCATTTAATAATACTTTAGGTTTCTGCAATTTAAAACGACGTATCCTTCAAATGTGAATCCATGAGAAAATGAAGAACTAATTTAGTAATTTGAGGGCACAAACCATTAATTAAAAGAAAAGAAATTAAAAAAGCTAAGGGTAGAAATTACAGATTGAGGGAAGGAAATTGATGTACCCAGAGCATGTTCATTTGAGGGAACTGTTAATAATTTGAGGGCATGAATTACTAACCTAATGAATAATTTATTAGATTAAACGTCCCTTCTGATACCTACCAGGCTGTGTAGCTCAATATTAACAGTGTTGCTTTCTGCTCTTAGCTGCATGTAAGTAGCCTACTAACTTGCTACTGCTACTCTATGCTAGTCATTACTGCTAGTAGCTAAATCTTCAGAAAATCATTCCTCAGATTAAATTACCAATTTACAAATTCCTAAATTTAGGGAATTATTTATGAAACCTTTACCCCTCCCGACACTTCCTGGTATGTTAACTTTGTTATTAGCACTGTTAGGTATTAGCCAGTAGTAGCAATAGCATGTCACAGCTAGCTAGTAGTTACTGCTAGTAGCTGAATCTTTAGAAAATTATTCCTCAAATTATTACATGAGAAAATCTTATAAATTGTCATATCTGAGCTGAAATAACTAATTTTTGGTAATTATTTATTAATGATATAGCCCTCCGGACACTTCCTAGTCTGTGTACCTTGTTATTAGTGTTAACTTAGCTAATAGCAAGTGGCAGTAGCATGCTATTAGTCACAGCTAGCTAGTAGTTACTGCTAGTAGCTGAACCTTTAGAAAACCATTCCTCAAATTATTAGATGAGGTAATTTAATTATGTGTAATTTCTGAGAAGAAATGACTAATTTTTGGTAGTTATTTTTAATTATTTTACCCTCCTGACACTTCCTGGGCTGCGTACCTTGTTATTAGTGTTAGCTAATAGCAACTAGCAGTAGCATGCTGTTAGTCACAGCTAGCTCATAGTTACTGTCATTGAATATGAAGTGGCCAGTTCCCACCAAAACACAGCAAAGAGTTAGCCGTGTAAATAGGGTTGTAACAGTATGAGATTTTCAGGGTATAATAACCGTCTCAGAAAATATTGCAGTGTCACAGTATCACAGTATTACAGAATTATTAGTATTATTATTATTAGCCATCAGAATGACCCTTAGAAGAATGAAAACAGAAGTTTCTTTTAGTTAAACAAATGTTTTATTACTGTTATTCACACTTGAAACCATTTTTTAATGAAAATATGTGTAACCATTCATTTTCAAATCATAGTATTCTTTGAACAGGTATATCCCTGCAACCATACATGTAACAAAAGGCTACTGAAATCTGATGTTTAATGTAAGGAAACTTTTGTTTTGTTTAAACTTTTGTTACCAATCTGATAACATGTACTTGATTTCCACTGCCATGAATGTCAGCACAGACTGTTTTAGAAAAATAAGGAAGCTACAAACAACTGACAACTCTTGAATGTATGAATGTGAAGTAGAGCGAGGAAACCCAAACTTAATGTGTGTATTCTGGTTGGTGCCTCCATCACACATCCAGGTGGTCTAACATCTGTGGTATATGTTTGTGTGTTGCAGATTTCATCCATAAGATTACGGTGCAGGCATCCCCGGGCCTGGAGAAGAGGCGGAACTCTCCTGATTTGGGGTCAGGCTCCTCGCCCTCCTTTGGCCCACGTTTCCGTGCAATCCAACGTGAGTGCAGTCATTTTTCCCTTGGATAAACACACGCACAGGTGCACATGTGTGCTAGCAGAGACATTTAGGAAACAAAGAATGTCTTGCCTTCTTGCGTGCACGCACAGACTCTGTTGCAACATTACTTCTCTCAGTTTCCAAATTCTCTCCTTTCATGTGCTCTCAACCACCCACTCGTCTTTTTTGTCTTCCCATGTTTCCCTGTGGGCCCCCTCTCTCTCTCTCTCTCTCTCTCTCTCCCCCTCCCTGCTTTACTGCTCTCTCTCTCTCTCTCTCTCTCTCTCTCTCTCTCACACACACACCCTTTTCCCTTTTCAACAGTCTGTTCCAGTCCAAATATTATCTGACTTCCTCTCAGCGGCTCAGCACTTCTCAGCAGCTTTTTTCCACTGCAGCCCCTGCTCTGCTCCACCGGCCTGCAGTTTCCTCATTGCTGCAGCGGGGGGAGCCATTGAGCTGCATTTTCCAGGCAGAAAGTATCCACGGTTTTATATGCATGTAGTGGCTACAGTGCGGTTTAGTGAATTAAAAATAAGCAAGGAGGAATTCATTGCTCCAGGAGAAGGGGTTGAGAAGGGTTGCAGCAGCGGCAGAGATTTACAATACTCTTCTGCTTGTCAGGCTCCTAGACAAACGCCCCGAGATCATTTCCCTTCGGAGGGAAATTGTAGCCAGTAGGTCACAGGGCGTCTTAACAAAACCCAAAAGGAAATTTGTGGTGTAGCAACAAGCAATGAAAGGGATTTTTTTTCTTTAAACAATTACCACTGGGGGTTGACATAAAAGCACAAATCGCAGTGAAACATTTATCTGTAAAAGTGGTTAGTAAATCTAAAACATCTGCCAGCTTCATTTATTATCAAATAGAGGGCTGGTTTTCTTTACTTCCTAATGACTTTCCTTAATAGCTATCACTAAGCCATGAGTGTGCCTGTCATTAAAATGTGTTTAGTGGGTATTTATGCTTGCCCTCTCGGTAGCAAGCAGTGATTTATTGCTGGGGCCTCACAAACTTATTTGTCTAGAGAACTGCCAAATTGATTTGCATTAGTCCACAGAGTTCCATTCAACGGGATTTTTGTTCTGTTAATACAAATGAGTATAGCGGGGCACAAGGAAAGCTACAGAATGATTGATCGTCCTAGAATTAGTTTTCAGGGACTTTTTGAACTCTGGGATTGTAGAAGTTAGCATTTTTAGCATGTCAGTAGGCTGACATGTGCTGGCATCTTCTGAATAGGGGCAGGATTAGCACCTGGGGTATAGAAGTCTTTACATTTATATGTTGATATGATGATACACATGCTGTGTTTCTAGCCATGCAGGCATCATAGTTCTGGGGATGCCAGCTGGTTGATCAGTCATTCGGTCTCTCAACAACTTTTCAATGGATTGGGATGGAATTTGGTACAGATATCGATGATTCCCAGAGGATGAATCCTACACAGTTGGTGATCCCCTGAACTTCCCTCTAGTGCCACCATCAGGTTCAAATCTTCACTCCTCCATTGCAATTTCTCAACATTTACTTTATTGGAGCCAAATTAAGTACAGATAGTTCTGTCCCCCACAGGGTGACATGTAATAAGTGATTTTCTTAAGTAGTTTCGTCATCAAGTCAAAATTTTGATTTAGCTAATACTTTGATTTTTGACTAAATCTTTCAAAACTAATAACCTTTGACAACATCAGCAGTACTTTATGTGTAAAATAATGGACTTAGCCACTGTGATGTCACCCATTAGTTTGTGGATTCCTGTTTTGAAGCCTCAAGTTGGCATATTGGCTGTGGCCATCTTGGATTTTTGGAGTCAAAAGTGACCATGTTTGGATGAGAGGGTGGAGCTAATCATCATGCTAGCTGCTAGCCTGGGTAGCGTGGTGTGTTTACAGCAGTGGTTAACTTTCATAATGCTAATTTGGGCTTGCTAAAAACTGGCTTAAGCACAACCAAACTCTGAACATGACTTTTTTAGCTGACCAAAACATTAAAATTAACTGTCATGAACTGAAACACTAAAACACTGAAATAGCTGCAGCTACTCATATACTCTGTGACTCTGGGGTTATACCATAGTTACGTTACCTAACCAATGTTGTTGCTGTTTTAGCAACCTGTCAATGGATGCATCTACCTGTCCCTCAGAATGGACCCACCCTTGAATATGCATAACTTTAAGCCTTAATAAAATTCAAATGGATGAGTTTAATAAAAATTCACCCTGTGCACAGTTGTTAATAATGTGGAAATTAACTATAGAGACCGAAACCATTTTTCCCCTGGGCTGTAAACCTCACAGAGCCACTTGCATCGCTGTAGACTAATATTCTTGCTGTTTAGTTGCCTTTCCTCTTTATTTTTTTCACAAATGACAAGGCCATCAACATGGGGCGGATGATGAGCAGAGGAGCCAATTGTGAGATATTAAAAAATATTATAACCATCAAGATATATTCCATCAACACATGATGATATCAGCAGTGACAATATTGCAAAAGAAATTGTGTTTACTGAGGAATATGCTGGGAAAGGGGTCTTTTTTTTTTCTTTTCTTTTTTTTGAAAGCCACTGTCTGATCTTGATGAAATTGCCACGCTGACACTATCACCTGACCTCTGTGCTTGCTTTGAAAACATTGTGTTGGAGAGTGATGGGAGGCAAAGTGCATCAGCCAGGCCTCCAGTGTAGTCGGGGCCAAAGAAAATAATACAACATGTCCATTCAGAGAGCATATTTAGTTTTTCCCATTTCTGAAGCTCAAATGAAATGACATGAATGGGGGAATCAGCGGAAATAAGCAGCACCAGAGCTGAAATACAAGATGTGGTTTAGTTTTCTTGGTATTTGAAGTATTTTACATTAGTGCCCAGACCACTCTTCTTCTGACTAACATGTCAGGTGTTATGTCGAGAAGAGTGCATAAGGCTTTTTGAAGGGTGTGATTGGGTCTGTATGTTGGGAGGTGTTGTGTGTCAGGAAGCCCAGCATATAACTTCTGTGTGTGAATGTTCGCACGATGTTCACACACTTTGTGTTAGCAACACAAGCCAGTTGGTTGGGAGAGTGGTGGGATGAGATGTGGCACCACAGCTGCGGTAAAGTGTGTGAATTGCAGTTGAAATCCCAGCTTTTATTAGCACTCTGCTCCTCCTCTCATCTTTTCCCGGGTGACTTTGACTCCTTCCTCTCGCACTTTCTGCTCTGTGAAACCCTTGGACGTTACCATCTGGACTATGTCCACATGATGAGGTATTCTTAACACTGTATTAGAGTAAATAAGGACTTGAGCTGGGCAGAAATATGAGCAGAAAGAGTGCATTGAAGTTGCATGAATTCTAGCTGTAGCAGGAGTCAATTAAAGGTCATTGTGTTGGAGATGATTGCAGGGCAACGTCAATTTTATCGGTGAAACCTGCCTTTTAAAAATGCACACCTCATTAGGATACAGCTGAGCAGTATGCATACTGATAACATGCAAGCTGATGTTCATTTTTCTCTCCTCTGCTCTCTGCAGTCAGTCCCAGTGACAACAGCAGGGCATTTGGTCTGAGCTCGGTCTGGCCCCTAGAGGCCCCCTCTCATAAACAAGCCAATGGAGACCTGAGGCTGGGCCCCCACTGGAGGCCCCAGAGCCCGAAAAGTCCCAAAAGCCCAAAAGTCCTGCGTCTGAGTCCCCAGGAAAGCAGGTACAGCAGGACTGTTCTTTTCTTCTACATGTAAACATTTAAAATGGAGGATTTGATTGATCTCATCTTACCACGCTTAAATATTTTTTAATTTCTTCACACTTTCAGTCTGTCGATGAGGGCCAAGCTCCTGGAGTCGGACAGCAATGAGAAGGGGGAATCCAAGGATGACTTTGAGGAGTACAGACCCTCCACGCCTACCCCTCCCATTCCCCCTGCTCAGAACGGTACCCAACGCCCTCCATCACTAGCCTAACCACCAGCCGCATATCTCCCATTAGCCACTGTTACTATTCACACTGTCATGACTGTGAATTATGTATAAAAGCTAAATGAATAATAAATGCCTCGTCTCTCTCGCCTTTGTCTTTTTAAAGCTTAACAAAAAAAAACGTTTTTCTCTCTCTCTGCAGGCTCCTCAGTGAAGGACAGCCTGCGGCTTCCTCTACCTCAGCGAGACTCGGTCAGCGAGGAAGGGGGTTCCTCCCCAGCTGGCTCCCCCAGGCCTGAGAGGGGTTCCCACGGTGGCCTTATTAAGAGCACCCACCGGGCCCTGCTGGGCAGCGGCTCCCTCCTGGCCTCCGTAGGACTAGGTCGCTGCCTGGATATTCCCCCAAGGGTGCCCCCTCGAACTAACCTCCCTTCCCTGGAGAGCCGCACCCCCTCTGAACCAGAGATCTCATCCCCTATGCCCCTCATTTCAGACCCCCCGGTGGTGGACGATCTCATCACCTTCTCCACCTCTGAGACGCTCCCCAGACCGCTCTTGGATTTACCTCTGCAGTACCAAGAACTGAAGCCCTTACCCCTGACGCCACCTCCGCCGAATCCTCGTGAGAGGGGCGGCCACCGGACGCCGCAGATACCGCAAAGTCCGCAGAGCCCCAGGACTCCTCTGCAGCACGGCAGGGCCAGCCCAGGGGAATGGACCCCAAGTTCCTATTCGACTAACGGGGAGCTTGGCTGTGAGGCCTGGGAGCACAAAGCTGACAGGAGGAGGAGGTCCAGCCAAGGCCTGCACACCTCTCAGCTGGGTCAGTCTAACTTTTCCACCTCAAAGAGTCACTCCACCATTTTAAAAGCGAAAGTCAGTTTAGTAGTCACTAGACCTGTCACAATAATTACTCTTGTCGGACAGTATTATCTGAAGCAGTGCAGCCAGAAATGGCAGCAGAATGTGTCTCAGTATAGGTTCTTTTTCTTTTTTTAACAGAAGGCTTGTGTGACTAACTGGGGGTGTGGGGTTTGAAAAAGTGCATGTTTCCCCAGACAGTTAGGATCTAGTAGAAGATTCTATCAGGTTGCATTATCGGAAGTGTAGGAAGTCCAGCATTTTGGGATGGTGATTCATATTAGAGGCTAAAAGTCAGGATATCTCAGTCTCTGCTGCTTTTATTATTTTATGCCTCTGCGGCGGCGAAGGCCGTGGCCGAAAGCATTATGTTTTCGGGTTGTCCGTCCCATTCTTATGAGCGTGATATCTAAAGAGCACTGTGAGGGAATTTCCTCAAATTTGGCACAAACGTCCACTTGAACTCAAAGATAGGGTTAATGAAAAGCTAAATTGTTGTCAGATGATAGCTTTTGGCCTTTTGCTCTCCACATGGAGTATTTACCTGCTGCTAAAACATAATTGGTCAGTACTCAGACTGTAAACAGACAACAAACGAAAACAGGAATGCTTCAGATACCAAAATCTTGTACCTTTTCCCACAGATTCTGCATTCATATGTAGAAATCTGTTTATAGAGATGAATAAATCGCTGGAGTGCCCCTTTAAATTACAGTCTTCTGTCTAAATCAAATCAATGATTCATCCGCAGTTCCTTAAGGGAATACTTTGCCAGTTTTCACCCAGCAACACAACAATGCTTATATGTAAATGAACTTTGGTTAACTTCTCTACATCTTACCAGCGCCAAGATTACCCTCCTCCCCCCATCTTAAATCCTCCAGATGACGCATCGCTGGCTCTAGGGCTGTTCCTCAAACTGCAGATTGTATTTCCGCATTCTTTTATGCCCGACACAACCAACACAAAGAGTACAGAAGCCATCGAGAGAGAGACGCTCCTGTTTCTCTCAAATGCAGACTTAACTTGAATCAAACTGTAAATTTAAGCAGCGCTGATCAAATATAAACCAAAATTCTGTACCTGTATTGACTGTATCTCCCTTAAAATGTTCCCAGAAACATATTTTAGTGCACTGTTTGGCTGTAATATGAGAATTTGTGGAAAAGGAAGTGGTCGCCATACTGTTTCTTGAATTGTTAAAGTTTAGGCTGAACAAATTGAGATTAAACAGTAAAACTAAGCAGTACTGATTAAATAAGAACCAAGATTCTGTTACTGTGTTGCCAATTTCTCACCTTAAAGGTTTTCAGGAACGTATTTATCTTACTGTTTAATTGTTATAAGAGATCATTTGTGACCAGCTGGCCACCATAGTGTTTCCTGTGGGAAAACGGATTAGTTTGCACTACGTTACCCTCCAGCAGGAGTGTTTATTGGTCCAGTGCAGCGCAGTGTATTCTGGTTGTTGTAGGTTTTTTGCCTCTTGAGCAAAAGTGAATGCCACAGCCTTTTTTGTCTGTTTTTCTCTGGTCACGTAGCACCAAATTCTACTGCATAGACAGCCAAGTTTTTATGAAAAGGCCGTCTTTCCCGCACCATGCTTGTTTTTAGGAGGCCCCCACACTGCAGCTGGATCCACATTTTACCTTGACTAAGTACCTTTTCAGCATTACAATGTTCCCTCACAGTTCTAGCAGAATTATTATTGTTACTTTTTAGCAAGATCTTTCTGGCACAAGGGAGGCTTCAGTGCTGCACAAGCTTTTTCATTTACATCAAAGCTCGTCTTGGACTATTTGCATATCTCAGGTAACAGCTGGCCCTCCATACTTCACTGCTAATACTTGCTAAGCAAAGCTAGCATCCAATCCTCTGTTGTTTTCCCTCTTTCAAGCCGGAGTTTTTCCTTTATTGCAAAGTTGAAGATGAATGCAAAACATCGGGGATGCAGCTGAGGTCATGCAGACAGAGAAGTGCTGGATTCAAATTTGCTAACATATTATACTATTCTTTCTGGGCAGTGCTTGGGATAGTTTGGCTGGAGATCAACAGTGCGTCTTGGGTGTATTTACCCTCCAGTTTGAGCAAATGTTCATATGGAGACATGCCAAATGTATGCCTGTATGCCGTACAGGATGCACACGACACATGATGAAAGATCACATTCAGGAGGGATTAACATTCATATTCCTCCTCAAAATTACATGTGGAAGTGCGATGTTCACTTCTCATGGGGCATATTTATACATTTGTTTTGATTCACGTGTGTTGTTAACAGAGATGATCTGCATATCAGCAACACTTTGATTTACTGTACAGTACATTCACATGTTTTACCCAAACACTAATATGCATTTCTTAGAAGCACTGACACAGTTTAGAGCCATAATGATGGAGGCGTGGGTATTGGTTGTTTTAAGAGTGAGTGGGCTTTACGAGGGCTTTAAGAGGGCCCTCTGGTAACATTTCACACTCTATATCTGGTCCGTTTGACTCACAAAGCCTTGGATTCTCCACAGAGAGGTTCTTACAGCTCTGCCCCGCAGGTACCGAGCAGACATGCCTCGCCTGTTCCGTCGCTAACAGCCGTAATCTCACAAACCGCATGCGCTCATTACATCGAGCGCGCAGAGGCAAAAAGCCACACGTAATTAAACAGTGAGTGTTTTAGCTAAACATCTTATTATGTTTATTGACTGTAATGACTCAGGCTCAGATGCATAGACAGACTGCCACAAGGTTGCTGGCGGTGACTGTGTGCTTGAAAGAGAGAGATGAATGCAGTGGATTCCTTCACTGGTGTGTTTTTTTCCACCCCGCGCGCTCTCATGTGACTTCTGATTGCTCTTTCTTGTCAGATGAATAGCTCAGCAGCCTTGGAGAGTTGCTGTTGATGTAAATAACGCCATTTGGCAGACACATCACATTTGGAAATAGCAAATGTTCATTCAGGCTGATTTATTCTGAGTTTAATGTTCTTGTCAGTGCTGATTTACACTTGCTGTTTCAGCTCTGTCAACTAGTTACACAGCACCACGTTATACTTAATTCAAAGTAATTGCATCAACATTCTCTGCTGGTTATTGTTTCATTTCTTTGTGCAACAATAATGTACCACTTTCATGTTTCTGTTGGAATCAATTTCCCCATACAGGTTTATGTGTTTTGCAGAATATTAGAAAGCTAATGCAAATTTGAGATTGGAGAGGAGTGCATAAAAGATCACCAGGGCAACACTACAGTGGTTTGAGAGTATTTGTAATTTGCAGATAAACAATTAAAGTCTCCTCGAGCAAGAAAGTGAAGGAGAGGATGGTGAAGATGTTTTATATGTTGACTGTGCAGCCTTTTTCTGAAATTGTGTCTTAAAGGGGTACCTCACTGATTATAGACATAAAGGTCAGTGTACTTGTCACGGGGAGTTCTACTCAGCCTGTGAAACCACTTATATAATGTCCTCTTTGTGGCTCTGGAGGAGAAGTCACAGAAAATAGCTCTGATATTAAATGTTAGTTAAAATATTTGACAGAAAACCTGTGTTATAAACTGTGGCATTGAGTGTGAAAGATGAGTAAATTTAACAGGCTGGGTCAGTCTGATGAAAGATGCTCTTTAGTTCCAATATGGGGAACGTAGGACTCAGCATAAGCCAGGACATCTTGGCCTCAACTGCTTTGATTTTGACCTCTATTTGAAGTCTCTCACAAGTCAACCAACTTAGTGAGGTACTAAATGCGGCATGCCCAATCAAAATCTGACGGATATTGTAAGCATTCATTTCTAGATAAAAGTAGATGTATGTCAACATCTCAATTTTTGGTCATTTTAGAGTTTTGCTTGACTTTAAATGAAGTCTTGGCTTTTAGAGTATCAAAACCTTTTAAAACCCAACGGTAACCAATTTGAGCTGACGTTGTGCGATGCTAAGCCACTGAGAACATCAAAATATAATGTTAAATGTTTAAACTTTTGATTTAGAGCAAGTCACAAATGGCTGGAGTGCCCTTCTAATGTTTTTTTTGTCTCTTCCTTACAGTATTGGACCTGCCCTTATGCCAAGACACACAAGACGCCGATGACAAACCCTCTGTGTCCTTATCGCTTCACCCCAACCCCGCCCTCTGGAGCCCCAAAACCCGTCGCCTGGAAGTCAATGTCATCCCCCGGCCCCGCCCGTCCCCCATCCGCCCCCGCATCGACCCCTGGAGCTTCATCTCGGCTGGTGGTGGGAACTCAGGTGGTGGCCGCAGCCCACACCGTGTGGACAGCAGCCCTCTGGGCTACCAACCCTCCCCTACCAACCCTTTCACCAACTGTGACCCCTTCCCATCGCCAGACTGTGACCCGTTCACCCTCAAGGCTGACCCCTCAAGCGGCTCGGACACAGCTTCCCCCTTCGACCCCTTCTCGGCTCCCTTTCCCACCTCCCGTTCTGCCCCGTGCTCCACTAATGGCTCACCCACACTGCCCTCATTCCGTATAGCGCCCATCAACCTGGCCGACTCGCCACTCATTGACCTTGGCTGGGCAGCCTGCAGCAAGCCCATAGATGGCGCCAAAGAGAGAGCTCATCCCCGCAAGACACTGGGGCTCAAGCCCTTCAAGTCCCCAACGCAACTCAGAGACGATAGGTTCTAAACCTGTGCCTGTGGCAAGGCAACACAGTCCTTTCCACTACTTTATCCTAGCGAGGATTTGGAATCTTGTAAAAACAAAACAAAACAACAACAAAAAAAAAACGCACACCCATCACTACCCACTGAGGTAGGTTTCCCCCATGGGAGCTCCAATCATTGCAGGTCCTATTTATACACCAGCCTGCTGCTTTGGAATCCTGAAAGCCAGTGAAAGGTGGTACATTGGATTGTGGGATAGCTGCCTTTGAACCAATAGCTGGTGCCCATTTCATTCTTCCTCTTTATCTCGGTTTCTCTTTCCCTTTGAAGGAGCAGAACACAGATCACTAGTCCCATCTTCAGATTCTATCAGACTGCTCATATCACCTGCTTTCATCTCCCCCCTACCTTTGAAGCATTGTGACAATGCAGAGGTGGATAAGGCGACTTGCACAGCTTCATCTGCCTCTACCTCTCTGCAGACTGAAAGCATTCAGGACAATGGAAAAATTGGAGTGCCTTATTTTGTGAAGTGTTTTTAGTATATATCTTTTCAAGATTTCTTGAATGGTTAATCTGGTGCATAGGGAAGATGCTATGAATTTGGCTTAAATTTGCAAATCAGCTTAGTGTTGCCGTGGAAGAAAATGTCATGTGCGTGCGTGCGTGTGTGCATGTATGTCTAGACTCATTGTTCAAGGAAAGCTTACTGTTTTTGTTTTTTTATTTTAAACAGCAGCTGCCTGTTGCATTATGGGAGAAAGCACTCAGAGTGGATATTCCAGGCCACTCATGAAATCCAAGACAAATCCATGACCCAGACATTCCACTTGGAAGCAGATAAAATTCCAGTCACATTCCCCTTGAAATGCCAGGGATTGGACAGATTCATTGGGCTGGCAGGCGACACAGTGCCGGAAACAGGACGGGGGAGCCCTCTGCATTCCCCTCATATGCCAAAGAATGCCACTGTGACAGAGTAAGGGCTGGGACAAAGAGTGTTTGCAAATACATTGTTTTTACCTCCATGGAGTGCCAGACGGGTGGAGGCTGCCGCACTGGACAGCACAGAGAAAGTTGAGACAATCACAGATAGTATTTAAACACAACTTAAATATACTTTTCTGTGGTTATCTGATTAAATATCACCCTTGCCGTCTTATCACTACCCGTCTGATGCTGTAGGAAGGTTCAACCAAATACTTTGAAGTATTTGCAAATACTATAATACGTCTGTATGGAAGCTTCATTGAATAATTTATTTATTTGTACAGTCAACCAGAGTAGTAGTAGCCTCACAAGCCAGCCTGCAGTTTGGCAGACATGATTGACACTTCTCTCCTTGACCGGATTGGATGAGCATTGCATAGCTGTTATTAGTCTCATCTTCCAATGTTTGAATCAGGAAAAGTGTTGTGGTTGTTGCGGGAATGTTAAATCTACCTGTAATGATCCACAAAATTTAGTTTCTGAGAGAAGGAATGAAAAAAAAAAAATCCAAGAGAATAGTTTGACATTTTGGGTAACCCACTTATTTGCTTACTTGAGTGAGAGTGATATGAAAAGATTAATGCTACGGTTATATCGTACCTTTCAATATGAAGCTGGAGCCAGCAGACGATAAGCTTAGCTTAGCATAAAAGCAGGGGTAAAAAGCTAGCTAGTTCTGTCCAAAGTTAACAAAATCTGTCTTCCAGCTTTGTGAAATTCCCTCATTAATAAATCACATCTTGTTTTTTTAATAGCATTGACTTCCTAGAGTTTTGTTTTGCCAGGAGGTTGCCAGGCAATCAGTGAAGACTCCATGAAAAGAAAACGAGGTGCTGATCAATGGATTTTATTGCCTTTGGACAGAGCCAGGCCAGCTGTTTCCCCCTGTTTCATCTCTTAATGCCAAGCTAAGAGAACTGTTCTCAACCTTTTTATGGTTAAAGACCTCTAAATCGATACGCATTAGGTCACGCACCCCCATTTGATAAGATTTAGCTTCAGGGACCAGGGGGCCAGGGACCATCTAAACATTGGTGATGGGAAACATGGGTCAAAACATTTAGTGGTGAGATGTAGGCTGGCTTTGTGAGACTAGAGAAGCAGGGCTCCTAACTCTTGTCCTTCCCATTTTTTTTGTTAAAGGTCCAGTGTGTAGGATTTAGGGGGATATATTGACAGGAATGGTATAAAATATTCCTAATTATGTTTTTAGTCACCTAAAAACAAAAATTGTTGTGTGTTCATTACCTTATAATGAGCCATTTATGTCTGCATTTGGACCATTTGTGTTTTTGTGTTTTTTGCGTCAGCCTCCTGTAGTTTCAGAGTGCAATCTACAACCTTAGATGCCACTAAATCCTACACACCACACCTTTAAAAATCCATCCTAAACCATTTTAACACTGCTAAATAGATCTGGTAGGATCCTATGAATCACTGTGATATCATTTTTAGATATTTCCACAACAGATACAGTTTAGAAGCTCAATTTTAAACAATAGTATAGGAAGAAATTCATTGTAGAAATATCAATTTTTCCACCGGCAGCAGTCTCAAGAGACCGGAATGCACTGGAGCAACAGCTTGCCCTTTTACTCTTGGTTCACAATCATTATCATCGCTGATCGTTATACGTACTAAGTGTTCAGGCACTTTCTTGTGAGGCGGATTGAGGGAAAGTAGCTGCAGCAACAAATACTTCATCAGAAAGTAACCCCTGGAATGGGTTGTGTCCAAGGGTGTGTTTTTTTTAAATGGCAGTCACCTGGTGTATTGACATAATCTGTGGAGGTCCAAGCATGTAAGCAACTGACAGAGACCCACTTACGAATGGCGCAAATTCGTCACCCATGTCTTTGCTGGAGCATTACGAGGTACAAATACTAATGATTGGCTCCATCAGTGACACCGTGTCATTGGAGGATAATAACGGCTTTGTTCTGATGAAGAGTGAAAACCTTGTCTCCAAAGGGGAAAGCTTTGTGATTAGCCTAATAATCCGTCTGACGAACAGAAGAGGCTGATAGTGATAATTAGCCTCTTGATAAGAGTAGAGAGCATTAACAAAGCGTTCAGATATTTGGTTAATTAATTTCCCCCGACGTTACGAAAATGCCCCGCGTCCTCCTCGCAAGGTATATTGAGTCGCCTTGTGCATCAGCTTACGTCTCGATTTAAGCTGTGCCCTTTTTTTATGCATAAAGTTTCAAAGGCGGGTTGAGCTATCTTTCCTCCCTTTTCTCTCCTTTATTACTCTGTTGCCACTGGCTGTTCAGCTGCTGACCGGATGAAATCTTCACCGCTGAGGCTCACCTTTTTCTACGTCCTCCGCCTTCAGGTGATGTGGGAGATTTTCTTTCTCTCTCCTCTCACTCCTACTCCTTTGCTTCCTTCTTCTCTGGAAAGTTTTCTTGGGGGCAGTTTTGTCCTGACACTGCAGAGCATTCAGTTCAGTAACAGCCAGGTTTCTATCCAGTAAAAAAAAGAAATAGCATTTGTCATAGGACAGAGTCCATTAACAGAGGAGTGCTCATTTTACACAGGCAATTGGATTTGTTTGAACTTGAAACAGGAGCTTTATTGAATATTTCTATTGCGCTTTAATGTGTCTGTTCATCATCTACTGGACATCCAAGAAATACTCAACAGTAACAAAGAGACACAGTGCTTGTAAAGGTCTTAGTATGCTTCAGACAAACTTGATAGACATCTAAAGGCAGACATTTGCATGTACCTGGAGGCTTAAAAACCACATAAGGGGGCAGGTCAGGTCTGACTCTTCCCTAGCTGGAATATCTTTCTTGAGAACATCCAATCTGAACAACAGAAACAGAGCTAAACATTGCAAGACTTTATCTCTGGTTCAATTAAACAACTCACCTGTCATCACATAGACATGAGCACTTTAGAGCATCCTTCCTGGTGTGCAAAAGTTGGAGGTTTGATCCAGAATTTGCCTCTCTCAGCAGTGTTCCCTACCTTGCCTTGCTCGCCTGTCCTCGCCACAAACGTTTTACAGACGTGACAAGTGATGAGTTATTGCCTCGTGTCAACACACAAAGCCACGAGAGCTATCCTGTGATAGTCATTAGGCTGGGATGGCTGTTATTGTCAACAGAGCTCTGCGAGGAGAAATGATACATGAAGGAAATTGAGATGATTGAAACGTCTGGCAGATTATTTCTGTCACAATTTCTGTGTGTGTGTCAAGTATCCACTTCAGCCTGCCACTCATGTCTTGTCTGTATGTTCACTCAGCGCCAGACTTTAATTTTCCCTCAGACCTGATGTTGAAAAGTGTTGCCTGCCGTTCTCCATCTAGCTTGCACACGTTGAGTAATTGACTTTATGAAATATGACTTGCAATAACAGGAGTAGGCTTTTCACATATGATTAAGTTGTTGCCCATAGTCAGAGTGGGTTTCCTCCTGGAAGTGGTTCCTTTGAAGTGGGTAAAAACTTTCCTGCTGCAAAATGAAATGTACATAGAAATACATTAGAATACTTAAAATGTATGCTTATTTTACCATAAACAAAATACTTTCACCTCAGCTCTTAATCTGACAAAACTCTAGTTTGGTAGCTGATGGATTGAGTAGGACACATTCTTAAGAAGTCTTTTGTGGTCAGGGACGTCCGATTTTTGGTTTTGGCTGTCAGATGTAGGAACCGTAGCTGCCACTCCTCTTCCCGAGCTGACAGCCGGCACTCCAATAAGAAAGCGCTGATGAGTTGCTTGTGACGCTCTGCTCTTCCAGGCATCGCCCCATCCGTCACTGCAAATCAGCGTCCCGAGTACAAACTGACAGGGAGAATGGAAGCGAATTCTCTGCAGGAGAGAACGATATCTGGCCACCGGTGATCCACTTTCAGCCCTCACAGTGGCCGGAGGCAGACATGATTTGATGATCTTAATTCGAAGTTCAAGCTCAGACCATTGCGCCTAATCAGTGAATGGCAAATGGTCAATACATTACATGAATAAAAGCTAATGAGATGGCACAATGGAGGAACCCAAAGGCCCTGACCCTCATCACACCAAGAGGCTACTTGTGATCAGAGGTTGTGTTATAGAATTTCAGAGATGAAAAATCAGAGCCATTATCTAGAGGGGAAAAAGACATGTTGCAAGCTACCTATTTGCATTGCCTAATGCAACCATCCATCAGGGTCATAGTCACATTTAAAGCTTAATTTGGCTCTGTGAAAACTGGATATGTTTACATGCATACTTATTACATTATGTACCCTTATTAAGCAGCTGATTCAAATTGAATGCCACTGACTATTTTAAATGCTAAAAAGTAAACTACGCTCATTTTCAAAATTCATACATGTTATACCTGTGGTCTAAGACAGTCCAAAATTTTAGTAATCATGAACAACTTTCTTCCAAATCCAAAAACTCAAATTTGTGATGTCATTATGTGTTAAGTCTGGAAAGATGTTTTAGATGACACTGAGAGCACCCAGGGAAATGTTTTGAGAATATGGGTACATTCTCTAATTCAGAACTGAGAACCCTGCAGTAAAATAAAGCTTGCGTATAGAAAGGACAACATTCTGAGGGTCCACAAAATCAGGCTCCTGTTCATTGTCCATGGAGCAGCTGCAGATTGTATACTTGATGACATCACAAGTTTGAGAGTTAGCAGCCTGTTGTCACCCCCAGGGCGTCCAATACTGACAAATTGTCATGCCCCTCGGTGTGAGATATTATATCACCCATATGTGGCAGTACTTGACGCTGGGGGCAACTGACGTTGTATAAAGCATGAGATAGTCCATGTAGGGTGGGAAGGGTAGAGATAGGTCAAACTAAATTGGACTTTCATCCAGAAGACCACAGCTCGTGTCCCGTGTGAAATCAAGTCAATGTTGCTTAAACATAACGTTATGCAATTTACGTACATTCGTCACACAATGATGAAACAAACATACTTATTTTAAACCAAAACATATTTTTTCCTACTCATAACCAAGTACTTTAGTTGTCTATACCTAACCATGACTTTCACAACATTCATTAGGTGTTACAATGCCTTTAGCTGTGCGTCACATAGATTCGCTAAAGGATCATGACAAAGCGTCGGAATTGGACGACCTGGGAATAAGAACGGGTTTGACTTACTTCTCTTGTTTTTGGCTTTGAGACAGAGAGAGTAGCTCATGTTCACAAATATTGATTGAACTTTCCAAGGCCAAAGAAATAACGTAATTTAGGTAGTGTTCCCCTTTAGATTGAACTATCCTGTTAACTCTAAGTAACAGAGCACAGTGTACACATAAACATACCCATCTCTAATGTTTGGCTTCAAGTCCGGAGGAGACTTTATTTCTTAAATTGCTGCAGCTCTGGTTAAATCATGTTTTCTCTCCTTCATGGTTACACAGAAAATTGGAGAATGGAGGGGAAAAACTGCATCTGAACATGTGTCGCATTTATTTTATTGATGAAATCTTACCTTGGCAGGTCAGCGAAGAGTAAATTCTAAAACGACAAAATAGATGGCCTGGCATTTCAGTGGCTTTCACCCCATTTACCATTGCTGCCTTTGCTTGCTTGTGTTCAATTAAGTGGAGGTTACAAACATACCTGGTTATCAGCCTCGTTTCACTTGTCTCACAGCCAGCCGTCAGCGCCAGAGACACATTATTGCTCTTTCTGGCTCATATTAACTGAAACACCTGCCCAGACCTTTGTTTGGCATTAACAGGCCGAGACCAAATGATCAAATATGACCTTCCATTGACTGTACAGGAATTGCACATCCCAATAGGGATATGGACAAAAGCCATGTCTGCGAGAGGCGCTGCCAGGGGCGTAAGCTAATGCTTGGTCTCTCAAAGTGTGAACATTATTCCTAATTCTTTTCAGTCTGCCTCCAAGGTCACCATCTGCTGTCCTCTCTTTCTCTAACAACGAAAACTGAATGAATGGGAGCCACGAAAGGTGGACCAATTTGTTTCCAAGACCACTGTAACAGCTCTCGGAGAAGGCTGGTGTTCTGTTTAGCAAAAATAAACATGGATTTTTATCTATGAGGTTATTAAGTCCAAGGCCCGCACACTCGTCCCCCCTCCACTCGCCTGTGGTCGTGATTATTGTTCTGCCTCACCATTGACACTCAATTACATCGTGATCTTCCTGGAATAGAAGCCGCTCAATCTGTAAATTTCTGTTTCTAGAGTGTTGAGTGAGCGCGCTGCAAACCAATTGGTTGAGTAAACAGCTCTAGTGTCTCAAATACAGAGACTGCAAATGATTTATTGTCGTCTCCTCTACATTGCTTGCAGATGAAAGGAGTGAAATAGCCGATGTAACGCTGTGTCATACTACATGTCAGGGTGCAAGCGAGTTTTACCAGAATCAGAAATAGTTTATACTTTATTGATCCCCGAGGGGAAATTATTTATGTTACAGGTGCTTCTTGCAAGAGAGGAAAGATACGTGAAAATATAAGAAGTTTAAACAATAGTACCAGTACAACCTATTAAGCAATCAATGAAGCTTGATGCAGTTATTGCATCAAAAATACAGTTTTCCCCACCTCACATCATTTTTACCATTCCAAGAGTTAGTATTGTCTTTATTCCTCCCATAACATGTTTTAGGAATGCCTTTTCAGCAGCAAATTTAAATGAAACTGGTCATTGCTATGCTAGCTAATTGCATTTGCCATAGTCCAAGCTAGCTTTGTTCTCTCAATGGTCAGCTGCACCGAAAATAGTAAATTGCACAAATTTGGATGTCAGGTTTGCCTAAGTTAAAATATGGAAAACTCTGCATGGATTTTGTTTGATTCGTAGCTCAGATTCCAGTGAAACAAATCAGCAAGAGTGCTGAAAATACGAACAGGTTGAGTTAGCATTTTAGCACTTCTGGTTCCCTTACCTCAAAGTTTATAGTGTTTTTTGAACGGGGTTTTGGTTGGATGCCTGAAATAAGGTCTGTGGTTAGCACCAGCTTAAGAGACTTTTACGCTTTTTTCTACGACATAAAATACAATAGTAAATACTTGTAAATTTTGAGGCCTTTAAGTGTCTCAAAAAACTAACAGGCTAGCTAGCCAACAAGTAGCTAAATGAGACTACAGAGCATCACCATGCTAAACCATGCAGTACAGCCTCGTTGTGGTGGCGATGTTGAAATTGTAGTCCATTTATAGCCTTACGTTAACTTTTTACTTTTAGCAATTGAATTTATGCTTCAAAAAGTGGCATTCATTTAAGGAGCTTATCTTGCTGAACAAACATTTTGTTTGACACAGAGCTTACTTTCTGCAGTAATACAAAATCCAATGGAAAAATCCCATTGGCATTTTGTCAAGGGAACCAGGAGGACGCTAACTTCCAAGCTAGCCTACAATTAAATGTCATCCTTGCACCACTGGTTGCAAATGTTGTCCAAATGTTCAATGTATTAAATTGGGGTTGACAAATTATACAAATGCCAAAATAACTAAAATGCATGAAGATGGATAGATATACAGATACAGATATTATTTAAGTGAAGCTTGAGGGTATGCAAGAGTAGGTGGTCTCTTTCAGGTGCACATGCTTGGGCTTCAGTAACTCTAAGTGATCCACAGAGGCAATTTGAAGCGGTCCCCATGACTCACTGTTGGAATCTTTTCCACTCACTGCATCACAGTACTGTAAAAGGCTTTCCCTTTCTGACAGCTTCCCACCAGCCAGCTAAAGACATTTACAAAACTGATACACAGGGGGAAAAAGTGGATATTTATAAATGGCCATCTTTTTTACACACTGGATCAAAACTATTTCTGTTCTCTAGATGGCCATGGACACGGTCTACATTAGGATGACGGGTCGATTGCTTCATATGAACAAAACATTTTCTAGGTTTTCACTGGAGTATTTAAGATGTATGTATGGGTGCTTCACATGAGGCAGAGTAACTTCACATTCCAGTTCTCCAATTCGACCAAAATGATTCCTCGACAAGCCCCAGTATTTGTGTGTAGCAGAAAATTCAAGAGAATTGCCTGGTAGAGCTTGAAATCTGGTTCTTTGTGTACTTTACAGCAAAATCCCAAACTTAAATTGCAGCCTAATGTCTCCTTGGGGCACCCATACTGAATTTGTATGTGCATAAAACTGCTAGATAGAGATGAGGATTGTGTCTCTACCTTAAGTAGTAGACCAGGTTGACCTCCTCTCTGTCTTTGTATCTATTTGCTTTTATTGTAATTGTTCCAGAATCATTTCCATGTTTATTTTGTGTCTTATTACAACCTAGGCGATGTGATAACACAATTGTTGCATTGCCCTGGCAGCCATTTTTACATCTCTCTCAGAACTGTCTCTTCTCATGCGAGTCGGAGGTTTTGCGGTCGTCGGGCTTTGAAAATTTGTTCTTGTTGCATTTTTGTGAAATCTCGCACTGGGCTGGGCCTAATCAACTGTTTTTATTGTTGTTGTGTCAAGAGGACTATTTCTGTATACAGTATGTGAAAATGTTTTTATTTTTCTCTTGACTATTATAATGGGTTTTAACCTGTGGAAAAAAAACAAACAAAGGAAAAAGCTCAAAAAGAGATGAGACCAAATAAAATGTAACACTCCTGACTTGTGTGTGACCTTATTCATATCACAGAGGGAAAAGGTGGAATAACAGAATTTGGTGTCTCAACAAGAAAGCTTGGTTATTCTCTTAGTAATCTCAGTCAACCATAAAACTTTAAAAGAAATTGTTTATTTATTTTTTATGAGTTAATAAGGCTGAGTGATTGTATTGGTGTAATTATATGTGGTAATTGTCATTTTTACTCACCTTTTGGACTCACTGTCAGTTATGGAAGCCCAGTTGAGGACATGCATGTAATTATCTCCCTTGTGTTGTTTTCTTGTCATGTCAGGTAATTATTTTATGATCTCAACATAACAATAATTATTCTTTGATCACAAGGAAAGGTCTGATGTTAAACTGACAAAATTATTACTTTGTGATTTTGAGAGATTTTGGTTTGCATCATAGTCTGTTTTGTTTTGACACAATCACGAAAAAATGAGAAAACAATTCACGTGAAAGGTCCATTTAGTAGCTGTTCTGGAGCGCTCAGCCATTTCACATGATCTTCATCAGCAGATAGATTTTGCCCAGTAGTCATGGAAATGTAGACATCACATTGGAGGTCGCCCAGTAACAATTTAACAACAAAATGAATCAGAAAATGTGTTCTTAATCACATTAGTGTATGTCTTTTGTCATTAATTCAAGAAGCACCCAGAATTTTCATATTCATATCAAGAGTTTTTTTTTTCTTGATAAGGACTTTCCAAAATCGGGATCCAAATGATGACAATTTATCCTTTGTTGGAACATAAACGCCTGTGCCAAATTGCTTTGCAGTACATCTAATAGTTGTTGAGATGTTTAACTCTAACCCTAAAAATGTCAACCTGCTGGTGGCGCTCAAGAAAATGTCATGGGATCAGTCAAAATGGTTCATCCTCTATGGACAATGAATGTCTGTTTGAACTTTCGTGGCAATTGAGTAGTTGCCAAAATACTTACCATTGTAATAAAGTGGTGGACCAACCAGCCTAACCCAAGCCCCCAGGAACAGCACTGGGCTTTGAAGCCAATTTTACATAGTAGCTATAACTTCCAGGTGTGTCACATGATGTCAAAAAAACAAAAGAAAGTAATATATGACTTTTAGTGTATCGGATCTTCTCTAGATTCATGCAGGACATTATTTCTCTAAGCCAATGTGAGAGGGAAGGAGGAGCAGTATCCTTCCATTTAAGTGAGGTAGCTCGTCGAGCCAATGATGAAGCAAAAGCCAGAACGCTGAGTTTAGCTTTAGGCAAATCCAAGTCTGGAGCAATTCCAAAAATTGCAGTCAGGGGATTTGGTTCAATTTGGTGGTGAAGGGTTTCTGATATTGTTTGAAAAACTGATGTCCAAAAGTTACCTAAAGAGGGACATGTCCAATACATGTGATGGAGTGAGGCAGGTGCACTTTTACATTTGTCACATGTAGGGTCAGCATCAGAGTACATTCGAGCTAATTTGGTTTTTGATATGTGGATACGATGCACTACTTTAAATTGCAAAAGTGCGTGTCGGGAGCACATAGAAGAAGAGTGTATCCGATCAAGTACTGAATCCCATATGTCGTCTGTAAAAGTATAATTTAGGTCTTGTTCCCAAAGCCATTCTTATAGCCGCCATTGAGGAACAGTAGTTTGGAAATAAGGTTGTTTAAAGTGTAAAGTCAATTGGTAAATACTGGTTATACACGTGAAATTCTTGACCTCAAAATCCTTCAATTGTACGGAAACATTTTATACTAAAAAACTGCGGGATCCCCCAGTTAAATTGTCTCCTGGGCATGAGGTTGCTAGCAACACTTATTTTTGCACCCTGAAGGTGGCAACCCTAGTTACAACTTTTGCGAAGTGACTCGTTTCACTGTAAAGGATTTTTTTGTTTCAATAACATTTGGAGAGTCTATAGAATAGGTGCACATTTAAATGATTTTATCCACATTCAAGTTATGACGACAGAAGTCTTGAGTGCTCTTGCTCTATGGGCTCACGATGGCAGATGCAAGTAGTTTTATGCCCAGGAAGTTTCTGGCTTCATGCACCACTGAGCAACTTTTATAGGAATGCCCCGCCTCTTACGTTGTATCCATGTTCTCTTCATACATCCTTGACCTAGGCCCTTGATACTCACAAAAATGTTGACAAAGGTGTACCTACCTGTGCCCTGTCTGGCTTTTTGTAGTCACTTCTAGGGGGTTGATGTGACAACTTGCATCCAGTGCGCAGCTCCCTTTAACATAATATCTAGAACAGCGTTAATCCTGCCACAGAAGCAGAAGGAAATATTCTGATATGACCATCATACAACATCTTTTCACATAATTTACGACCCATAACATGGAATGAAGACTGGCATGGTTCAGTGGAAATAATGCCTCTGTGTGTATGTGGATGTATCTGATATTTCTGTATCTGCGGGTAAAGATGATTCGTCAGTGCTGAGACCTTCTCTTTCACAGCTACATGGTAGGTGATGAGGGTTGAGGTGATCAGGGTGTGGATGAGCAGGGGGATAGTTTTTGAGGCTCCAGCCCATATTGTCTCAAAGGCCCTGGGTCTATGCTATTCCTTACAGAAATCTAATCTAATTGGGTAAATGAGCCTCTGTAGGCCTAATATTGATTTGCAATTAGATCAACCCAGATTATGATGGCATGGATATGGATGTAGTAGATTTGTCAGCTAAACATTTCTGTGAACTCTACTCCAGAGTATCATAAACAGGTTTCAAGATTAGTAATGCTGTTTACAAGAAATCCCTACCCCACCTATGTTATACAATTTATAAAAGACATCAGACAAGTGTTGAGTCTTTTTAGGAGGCCAGAGTTGAAATGAGTCATCCGTAACATTTTTTGTGTTGTGGTTTCAGAATGATGAAGACAGTTGGAGAACAATTTGATACAAAGAACGTAGGATCTACAGTATGAGTTTTTTCCTTGGCAACTATGATGTTTTTTTCCCAAACAGGCACGATATTATCTCAAATGGCTTCAAAAATGGTGCATATAGCTGTTGTACTTGGTAAAAATAATCTCCCCACAGAAGCATGCCCACAGACCCCCCCTATGTCTGGGCTGAGCCCCGGCACAGCACTGGCATGGTTTTTTTTTCTTTCTAAACCACACAAATTTTGGGCCACTTGGGCAGACCCATAAAAGCACTCGCACACTTTTATCCACTGTTATAGTGCCAGTGGTGGAATGTAACTAAGTACATTTACTGGTACTGTACTGAAGTACTAACTCAAAGTACTTGTACTTTACTTGAAAATTTCCATATGTAAATTTATACTTCTACTCCACTACATCTCAGAGGTAAATTACAGCTTTAACTACTTTTTTAGATTATAGTTTTTCATCTCCTTTCTTCTTCGTGAAAATCACATCCCTCCAGATGTGTTGGTATTAAATGTTTGGAAGTGTTCCTTTATGTGTTGTGAAATTCTTCTGCTTCTTAAACTAAATAAACTCTTTAAAAAACCTTCTTGGATCAGCTGGAAAAAGCATCGTCACAAGCTGAAAACAGGGCTGTTTTTCTGATACTGTGAAAAGTTGACTTTGACTTGAGATACATTGTACTTATAGGACAAACATATGATGATCTTGTAGGATATGCTGCATTGCTGTCAATTAATCTACCCAACAGTATATAGAGGAGGTAAAATGAGCACAACCTTAAATATCTATGGCAGGAGAATGCAACGTACACATTAATGCAGCAGTAATATTAATCCAAAACATCATATATAATAGTAAAACACTGACAGTGAACATTTTACTGCACAATTAATACTTTAATTTTTCATACTTAAAGTAGCCTTTATTTTGCTGATGATGCTTGCCATACATTTACAGAAGTAAGGTTAGGAAATACAAGGCTTTTACTTGTTGTGAAGTATTTTCACAGTGTGGTGTTAGTACGCTTTGATCTGAATTAGTACGTCTTCCACAGCTAGTTTGTGTGTTGTCAGACCAGAGGCTTGATGCACACAACTCTGTCGATTCATGACTAAAACTATGTGACCTGGGCACACATGCACAAGCCTCATTTCCACTCCCACAGTTGTGTCCCTAATGAGAATAATCATTAGTCGCAGTCCCACTCAAAAGAGGCTACTTTAAAAATCATCTCCACCTCAACCAGCTACAACAATAAAACCCCTGCTTTTACAATATTGCAGGAGTAATTATAATCTAATGATAGACTACAACATACTGTACATTAGTCATAGGGGCCATTTTTCAGCATTGAGTGCTTTTATTTAAGTAAAGTATCTTAATACTTCCTCCACCTTTGCTTTACATACTCCTGAGTCTACCTCATCTCTGCAGGCAGTGCCTCAGAGCTAATTATTTCAATAATGGAAAGCGAGAGCACAGATCAAACATGCAGGGGGCGCTCGAGCTCCCACCAAATGACCCGACCACCGCCTGTAAATGTTTTCTCATTTTTAAATTAATTCAACTATTATTATTGTTTCTAATCAAATGTTTGTATGAAAATGAATCCAACAAAAGTAAATAATATTAAAATATAAATAACTGTAATAATTTGCGTCCCCAGCTGACCTCTCTTTTGATTGGTTACTCAGAGCTCGTGCGCCAGAGAGAGAAGTTTGGCTGTGCGCGCTGAAAGTGGAAGAATTAGCAAAGAGGTCAACAAGCCAAATGTATATTTTTTGCACTTCGTGGCAAGTAATGTAATGTAAAGAGTTGTTGTTCCGTTAAAACGAGCGAAGATGGAGATTGGAAGTTGACACCGATGCAGAAAAAGTCACAGCATTAGGAAGTAAGTGACCATAATTAGTCCACTGAACGTCACCTGGCCGAGCGCCATTTTGAAAACCCAAAAGAAAACAGACCGGGGTTAAACGTCATGCCAGATGCACTTGTGTTAGTAAGACCTTTTCAGGATGTTTCTCGGATTTATTCAAGCTGTTGTGTGTCTCTTTGACATTGCCTGCCACAGCAGGTGCATGTAAACGGAGTTTTATTTTTGTGGTTTTCGTC